TGTAGGCAGTTGCCAGTGACAGGGCAGCCTAGCTGGCTGCAGGATAAAGTGGGTTAATAAGTGTATATAACTACTTTCAGTGATTTTGATATGTTTATATGTAAATATGTTCAGCACTGTTTAGCCTCTACAATGTCTCCAGCACCATTTTGGAGAAGCCTGGTGTCCTGATTGGACAGGAAATCTCGGAGATTTGGTCGGCCATTTTGGGGTGGTTATCTTATATAGGAAAGACAACCACGTTTGTAGTCATAACACGTGTGGATGCAGACAGGGACAGAGACCCGCTTGTGAGGGAGAGTCAGGAAAGTGCAGGGAGAGTGTTCCAGCCTGTGAGGGATAGTTCAGGGTTCCTACGGAGTCCTGTATCGGTAATCCGGGTCGGATGAAAAGACTCCCAGGTGTTTATAACCAAACCAGTGTCTCCGCTGTGAGTGCGGGAAGAGTGTGCCAGACTCCTATCTCCCTGTACGGAACGAATATCGCTGCTTCCGGGTAAAGTGCTATCAGCCTTACAGATACGTATTGTGTGCTTGGGTTTAGACTGTGCCAGTCCGTGGGAAGTGTCAAGGGTGCTAACGAATCCCACTACCGCTTACATCTGAAGTGACTGTACTGTGTACCTGCGTCTCCATGCCTGGAGTGAAACTGTTTGCTTTACTATTGTAAATATTCTTCATACTACCGGCCCTCCGGTAATAAACGTTATCTTGTTAAAAGTCAATTACGTGTGATTCCCTCTGTGAAGCCGCCACACCCTAAACCCGCTTACAACCATATGCCTCCTACTCATTAATGTGGCGATCTGAGGGGGCCCCTTATTTTAAATCGTAACTTCCCTCCTGCCCACAAACCTCAAGCCACTGGGTTGAGATTGTGGCCTGGTATGTTTCGGTGGAGACACATGTCAGCCAAGCCGCAAACATTTTACATCCCTCTTCTGAGAAGCTAGAAAATGAGGTGTAACGGGATGAGACTTTTGTGAAAGGCCCCCCAAGTCTGTAATGTTGTCTAACCTGTGTATTTGACTAATGACCATAGATTGATTTGCCTTGTCCTGTCTTGTCCTAGGTGTATACCAGCACGTCACTGGAGAAGAAATTGGTGGTCACGCTATTAAAATCCTTGGCTGGGGAGTGGAAAATGGAACTCCATACTGGCTGTGTGCCAACTCCTGGAATACAGACTGGGGTGATAAAGGTATGATCCAATGCCTGGTCTAACATTTTTGTCCATATTGTGGTGTCATTCGATCAAGGAAGACCTGGGTTTCCTTAACATAAGAGGCCATCGACGTAGCTACTGAGGTGCAGCTGCAGACAACACAAATGTATTTGGGTTGTCATAGTTTTTTTTTTAACCTTGCTGTACAATTGAATTGTATGCAGGCTTCTTAAATCCATGACCTTCATAGTTTTCAATATGCTCACATTGTTTAGCAGTTGCATTTGTTTGCTCCTTCAAATTGTAGGCTTACCTTACCTTGAAGGTGACCCTAGCTGGTTGGTTTCAGAGCACCAAGGTGTCCTCAAACCCTGGGCACTCTACTATGCAAATGTTGACCATTTCTCCCAAATGAGGGTTGCAGTCTGATCAAGAGGAGATGAGCCAAAGTGACCATGGGAGATATGGTTGGTAATTTATTTTTTTTTCGCTGCTCTGATACCAGAAGTTCCATTTTAAGCCGGGCAGCATGCAATGACTCGCCACCCGCCTTCCTTGGGAAGCAGTCTTCATGCTACCTCAGCACCAGGTGACGAAGCATGGAGCCGGCTTTCTGCCCAATCAGGAAGCTAGGGTGGGCAATGACTCACTGCCTGTTAACCAATCAGGAAGCTGGGTGGTGACTTATTACACCCTGCTCAGCTTTCTGATTGGCCGGGAGGCAGTCTCCATGCTCCAACTAGTGACAAGGGAGCATGGAGCCGGCTTGCCGGGCAGCATGTAATGACTCGCTGCCCAATTCCCGATACTGGAATTTTCGGTATCTGTTCATTCCTAGTCATTTAGAAGCACAGCACCCGAATTGTGGCCATATCCAGAATGAACTTTGTGGAAACCGCTTATCGGGGTTACACAACTTTCTATGTTCTCAAACTTTATTTCTGCTTTACTACCAACAGGCTACTTCAAGATTCTGCGTGGAAAGGATCATTGTGGAATAGAGTCCGAAATAGTCGCTGGAGTTCCCAAAGATTAATCTCCCATCCAGTTCCTCTTCAAGCCTCCAGTTGCCTTTTTACTCCAAAACTTTTAGCAGAAACAACTTTTATTTTAATTGCATCATTGTTAATGGACTGTTTTATCTGAACGCACATAATGGGATTGTATGGCTGTGTGTAATTTGTAGCTGCAGATGATTGCATAGAAGAGGGATTGTCTCACCTGGTCAATGGGCCCATCTGCTTGCCAAAAGGGCTTCACAAACAAGAGATGCCAACTAAGACCGTGCCAGCCATTCAGGGTTCTAGCATGTGGCAAACAATGTCACCAATTGTGTACAGTGCTGCTCTGAAACGTTGAATTTTGCACTGCAACTGGTTTTCTTTTTATAGCCAAATTTTATTTCCAGTACCCCTTCTCTCTCCAACTGCCCCCCCCC